CTTAACCAACTGAGCCACCCAGGCACCCCAAATCCTCACTTTCTTAACTAGCAAGTGTTCAGAATCAGAGAGCTATGTACTTTATTTGTTAATTTGAAACATACTATCTACCTTCCAGGGCTGTAAGAGAGGATGAAACCAGTAACAAAGTGCCTAATATTCACTAGGCATTCAATAAGGGTTAGTTTCTTCCCACTAAATAAAACCAAACAACAGTTTTACTTTAGTTAGTAATTTAAATACCAAACAAGAATTATAACAGGACCAAACTCCTATAACTTCTTCTGACATGTCTGAATTAGTTTTCTTGGGCCCATGATTAGACACAGCCAGCTACAAGATTAAGTAACCAGAAACTAGGAAGCTATTTGAATGCATCGATGAAGCTCCCAACTTTTCAGGAGGAACCAAGGCTCACAGAGGTACCCTGGGGCTTCATTTGGTTTGTTTGTTGCTGCAGCTTTTGGCATCTTTGGACAAAACCAGCTGTGTTCTAATTGGAAAATGGGAAAATGACTAATTAATGGATCCATAAATTATAATGCTATCTTGCAATTAGATTTGTTTTGTAAAAGAGAGATATTTGGAATTTGCGCCTTTAATGTCCTCTCCACAAACCTCAGTGAAACAAAGCCTAGATTTTGTTTGCATCTTGTTTGTGTGTATGTGTCCATACATGTTATAAATATGAGATATTTTCTCTACCCCAGATGATGGTGTTGCTAAGATTAATTTGTAAAGGAGCTCTATTTAATTGGTTTAAAGGCAAATGCTTATAAAAACTGGGCACTCTGAAACTCAAAAAGGTAAGAACTAACCCAAATGTTTTTCAAGTTCATGTGATCTGGGATGATCTTCGGTAAATTAAAATTCAAGATTGCTGGTTTAGTTAAAATAGACATGTACTTAGGGTTATCAACATTAAATATAAAACGTTTATTCTACCAAGGTTTACTATAGGTCAAATAAGCTCATGTTATCTCTGTTGCAATTTGTCAGCAAAAATGACTTCAAATGATTAATTTTTTCTGTCTCAAAGTTTCCAGTGGGTAATTAAGAGCAAATAGGTTAAATAAATAAAAAGGTTTATAGGTAAACTTTTAATAGCTTTCAATGTCTTTGATAACCTGAAACCTTGAAGTTTTGCTAGGTTAAATGATAAACTGGGTCAAATTCATTGAATATCTAAGTCTTTTACAAATAAGATAAAATACTAAAACAATTATGAAACACAGGTTTGGCTGCTTTTGTCCTATTGCAGAGAAACTGTAGATACTTGGGCCTAAACATGTTTTATGCTTTATTAAAAGTTATACTATGAAAAAACACGTTTCTAGAAGTTATGAAATATATTCACAAATTTGTCAATCTAAAGAATTGAACTGAACTGATAAACAGTTCACAATAGATTACTACTTAGTTTTCACTGGAAACTGAAGTTTCTAAAAGTCAAAATTCTGATAAATGTAATTGAGACTGCTAGAAATGATAAGGAAAGCAACTCTATACGTAGGAAAGTAAGAGAGATGTAAAAAAAGAAAAGAAGAAAAGAAAAAGGTATAAGAAATGAGAATACATTTTTGTTGCAGGGAAAACAAGTAATTTTGTCCTGAAATGAGACTGGTTATTTAGAGAGGGAAAGTTTAAGACAAAATCTAAATGAAAAAAGAAAGTTGTACCAGGTTTGTAAAGGGGAATCTTTAGAAAAGAATTTTAAGTGTGGTCAGGACTTAGAGTAATGAATTAGTTTTAAAAGTACACTAGTATAAGACCAGAATTCAGTTTTTCTGTTAGAAAGACAAAGTTTTCTTGGATTGTTGGTCTGCTCTTGATAAAAAAAATCATGAACGAAGGCATTTATCTGCCCAGAAAAACAGTTTTTATATTTTGCCTTTATCAGGTCTTCGATTACTTAAGAAGGTTAAATCTTCTCAATATTAAAAGACCTAAGTTTTTCTAACAACTGTATAACCTTCTGTATTTGTCTTCAGAATCTCTTATGGCCACCTCAGTTACCTAGATAATTTTTAAGTTTTATAATGATCTATGATCCTATTTAGGCATGTGCTTTAAAATCTTCTGATTGTAACAAACTTCCCAAATATTCAAATCCTAAAATGAAGTCTTCTTGACTAATTAGGCTAGCTAAAACTACATGGGAAGCACTGTCAGATAAGGGATGATAAACCTTCTTGGTTATATTGTATGAGTGAATGCTATAACTGTACTAGAAAGTATATAAAATTCCTAAGTTCTAATATGTTCTGGTATAATGTTATCACTTGAAATTCTAATTATTAAAATGTTATGTGTCACAAAAATAACCAAATTTTCTTGTGGACTGCATTAAAATGAACGCTCATCAGATTTTTAACCATGGCCATTTTGAATCTTTTGTCATTTATGATTATTATTTGACCCTGATGCTCTCACAAATGTGTTTCAGCTTCAAGGAGGTTCATGAAAAGGACTTTTGAGGGACGCTTGGGTGGCTCAGTCAGTTAAGCATCTGCCTTCAGCTCAGGTCATGATCCCAGGGTCCTGGGATCCAGCCCCCACATCAGGTTCCTTGCTCAGTGGGGAGCCTGCTTCTCCCTCTGCCTGCCACTCCCCCGCCTGTGTATGCTCTCTGACAACTAAATAAATAAAAGTCCTTAAAAAAGAAAAAAAGGACTTTTGACAAATACAGTTTCCAATATCTTTAATATCACAAAACTAAACTAAAAATTTCCAGAACTAATAGAAAAACTGTAAACAAAACAAGAATTTATAACATTGGACTAAATGAACTGAAAAGGATTAGTTTTTATGACTCTTGTTTGAAACATTGCTGATTTTCTAGTGTTTGCTCTTTAAGATTTATGGAAATTTTTTCTCCTAAGATCTCTACAACTTATAAAAATTTGATTAAAAAAATGCTTTGTAGGGGCACCTGGGTGGCTCAGATGGTTAAACGTCTGCCTTCAGCTCCAGTCATGATTCCAAGGTCCTGGGATCGAGCCCCGCATCAGGCTCCCTGCTCAGCAGGGAGCCTGCTTCTCCCTCTCCATCTCCTGCTCCCCCTGCTTGTGCTCTCTCGCTCTGTCAAATAAATAAATAAAATCTTTAATAAAAAATGCTTTGTAAACAAATTAAAACATTTATCTTTTCTCCTTACCTGAACCCTCTAGATTCAAAAAACTCTGAGTATTCTTTCTTTCATGGCAATTATAATTTTTTGCATAAGTTCAATAAATATCTGTTCTCCTGGGGTGCCTAGTCAGAAGAGCATGCAGTTCTTGATCTTGGGGTCATGAGTTCAAGCCTCATGTTGGGTGTAGAGATTACTTAAATAAAAACTTAAAAAAAAAAAAAGAATCTGTTCTCCTTATAACATTGGTTATTTTACTAAGACTTTGACTGGAATGTTATATTTGAAAGAGACATGCATAGACTCAGATAAAACCAGACAGTTTCAAGGAACTAAGGTAAACTTTATGGAGCAAATGGAGCCCTTTGGAAATTTGGGCCTGATATCTTGCTTACAAAGTTCCCAGCAGCCTTACCAGGTAAATAAAAAAAATGAAACTTTCTGACAGGTACGGGAACCTCAGGATATTTGGGGGACTTCAGGAAGAGAGGAATTCACTCAAATCTACAGATACTACAAGTGAGTTTGATGGCAAATATTTGGTTTGGCTTCTGGCCTTGAGAGGTTATTAAAAATTCAATCTGAAATTTCTTTTTTTTTTTCAATCTGAAATTTCTTATAAAAAGTTTCAGCAAAGCAAATTTCAAAAACCTATATGGTCAATCACTATTCTTGCTATACTTATGTAAACAATCAGGCCAAGTTCATTAAAATTGGATTTGTTTGGGGGCGCCTGGGTGGCTCATTCAGTTAAGCATCTGACTCTTGGTTTCAGCTCAGGTCATGATCTCAGGGTGGGTCGTAAGACCAAGCCCCACATCAGGTTCCACACTCAGCACAGAGTCTGCTTGAGAGTCTTTCCCCCTCCCCCTCCCCCCTCCCCCTCTGTTCCTCCCCCTGCTTGTGCACTCTCTCTCTCTCTAAAATAAATAAAAATCTTTTTTGAAAAACTGGATTTTTTTTACAAACAATAAATTAGTCTTAATTTGGCTATCTTTGGTGGAAATGAGGGTGATTTTGGAGAAAAAGATTATTTCAGTAACACACTTTATGGATGTTAAATTCTAGTTCTGATTAAGTGTCTTTGAGTGTTTGTTGTTTGCCTATAAAACTAGGCCAGACCCTGAATTCTTATGATTTCCTTAAATATCTGGCTATAACTCCAAACTAAAGTTTCCAATATTCTCCCATTCTCTTGACTTGAAATCATTGAGAAATAAAACTGCCCTTTTCCCTACAGCCCTGAAAACTGAAGCTAGACAACTTGAGGTAACCTTCAGAGAAACTACCACAATGGCCCTTGTTTACACAATATTCATGCCTGATGCTCTATGGGTCACTCAAAGGATCAACCAACGACATCTGAACTACAAACCACAAAAATCCATCAGGTTACCACTGCCCGCTCCCACTCCATCTGAGGATGCTTAAGTCTGACATCCGGAAATATTCTCACTGGATTCAAACACTAGATTTATACTTTGCTACAAACATTAACGTGTGCTTTTCTTTTGTTTCCATAGAAATGCCTCTTATTAATTAGCTGATTGTACAATATAGGCCTAACTTTGAGAGCCCACCTGCAGGAGCACCTCCTAAAATGAGACGATTTCAACTTAGATATATATAGATATATGGGTTGATTAAAGTCATGACAAGATTTAATTAAAAATAAAAACAAAAGACTTCTCTGGTAGGAAAAAAAAACTTTATTTTTATCAGTGTAATACAGATATTTGTCTCGCATGTGTGTTCCCACTTTTTATCCAATATTCCCCCTCCAAAAAAAAAAAAAAAAATGGCTGGCATATATACTCCCTTCCATGTTTTCTGAGTATTTCTGGGCTTAAATTCATGTGGTCTGAATTCCTACTCCTGCTGAATTTTTTTTTGAAGCATCCCATGGGTCAGCTGTCCTCCTAAAGCGACTGTCATCTGTGCCACTTCACCATATGCTGTACGTTCCTTCTTCCTGTATTTTCCAAAGCACCACGAACAGAAGGCCCTGGTGGACAGTCGACTTTGCTGAGGACTTAGGAAAGACAGAGGATAGTGCAGTGAGACATGAACAGACAACAATGTTAAATTTAACATTAGATGCTGCTGCCCCCACGTTCTCTGGCCACCCCCAGGCATGGAATTTCTCATGAGGTGTTTTTCTTCTCTCACTCCTATCTCATCCAAGCCTATTCTTGCCCTTCTCTATACTCTTCAAATCCTGGTATTCTGTTGCACCCACATGCAAAAGATTTTAAAAATCCACCTATCTTATTACTTACACTAACATAATTATTTGTCTATACCTCTTCCATCTAATCTCTGGCCAGAAGCCTTGCCCTGCATGACCACCCATGACCATGAAGGCATTTTTCTTACAGCAGAGTAAACCTTTCGCTTTTCCCCGGCCAATTATCACAAGCCATATATAGGCAGATTCTAAAGTAACACTCTTTCTTCCTGTTACATAAGTATACACTTACCTAACTGGATGTGTATGAATGCATCTAAGGAAGCTGCATCTGAAGCAAAAAGTTGTAATTACTTACCAAGGAGTGATAAAGACTCTCACCAAATCAGAGTCAGGCTCCTCTGAGCCCTCTTCCCAATTAGGCCCTGACTTTGGGCACTGGTCTTGGCCTGCTTAGTCCAGTTTTAGGAAGAATACCACTGAATTATTTTAGCAAAAAAACAAAACAAAACAAAAACAAAAATAAAAACTACCTTCCTTAGAACTTCTCCATTTCTCTTCTCTAATGCTTTCTGTACACCACAAAGTAAAAATCTTTGTAAGTACCAGTCCCAGAATTTGGGATTTCACTTTGTTGGTTCTACCAGATGCAACATTTCTTCTTCCAACATAGTTCCTTATATTATATCACTTTAGAGCTCGGAGGGATATTAAAAAGACTCTACTCAGAAGAGTTCAAGTCTTTCACTTTAAAGATGATGAAATCTAGACCAGAAATAACCATTCTTGCTTAATACTATACAATAAAAATGGCTGGGTGAGGACTTAATCCAAAATCTGACTCCTAGTTCTGTACTTTCCCCCTACACAAGAAAATAAGTCACTGATTTTGTGCAGAAAGGGAACTGTTATCACATATCAATATAGGAATGAAAATTTCTTGAGCAGTTTTCCATAAGTCAGCTCAATAAGATCTATGAGACTGTCTGTCTAGCTCATCTCTTCACTAGGATTTGCTTTTTTCCTTAAGTTCATAAGATCCTAAGAGTCATCTTTGTTGATGAGATCGCATGCAGTCACAAAATTCCCTGGGAATTTGAAATATAGACCAAGAGAGTGTTTTGATTCAGCCTCTTCCTAAGACTCTGGCCTAGTAATATGTGACCTGGGGAAATAGTCAAAATTTAAATCACATGAACAGAGATCAAACAAAAGTCAGTCCACAATAAAAGGAATGAAGATGCACAGAAAGCAGCAGAGAAGAGAAATGGAGTTCTGGTAAAGGTGTAGTGCTAGTTTCAGCTCCTTCCTGAGCCAATTTGCCTCTTTGCTTTTGAATTCCATGATATACCCCTATATATTCATAAATAAATCTCTGGCTAACAGCTCCAGTGAGATACGGCAACCAATCCCAAGTAATTCTATAGGCTTTGCAATACAAAGTAAAGTACACTCCAAGGAGCCCTTTATCTGTTTAAGATGATAGCCACCTAATTAGCAGTAATAGGTAATCCTATTACTAATCCATCAATATCTTCTCACCCAGTCTTCTTGTAATGCTAAAGACAAACATTAGCAACAGAGCAATTTGATCTGCAATCCTGAAACAGAGAAAATCCAGTTAACACACAGGAGTTGAACCAGTGGCACTGATAAAGCACTCTTACTGAACCTACTAGCTAATAATCATGTAGTAATTGATACACATATGGAACAAACACACATAGAACATGAACAAAAGCAGAAGGTGCCAATATTTATTTATCCATGTCTATTCATGGGAGAGGTTGTTTTGACTTTACACCATGTTTCTTTAAGTAAACATAGCTCCAGAGCAAAGAAAAAAAGAGCATTCATTCAGGTTTACTGTAATACTGGTTGATTCCCCAATGTTATTCCTCCCCACAGATGATTAAACTAAACCTAACAGTAGCTTTTAACCTTTTCCCTGACAACTGTTACTGGCCTATGGGCATGTGACTTGAGTTGGCCCAATCAGCTTACCATCTCCCATGAGTTTAATTGAGTTACATCTGGGTTGGTTGGTTTGTTGGTTTATCTGGACCACCTCAACGAGTGAGATGACATTCCTTTTTCTGGAATTCAGTGAGATGACACTTCTTTTTCTGGAATTTCAAAGCTAGTTATCAAATTCAAAACACCCCTCTCCTCCTCTCTCCCAATTTCAAATGAACGAGGAAGTATGTAGTTACCAATCAGTGATTCTAATCACAAGGGGAAGCAGCCCCTGATGAATTCAACAGTGACAGCAGAGAAGGGAAAAAGATAAAACCTAAGTTCTTACTGACATCATTGATCCAGTAAATCAACCAACTCCAGAGCCAGCCCTAGTTCTGGAAATCTAATTAAACCCATAAGGACCTTGTTTAAGCTAATTTGGGGTCAGAGATTTCTATCATTTCCTGCCAAAAATGTCTTGAATAATTTAGTTCCCTCCCCTTTAGTCTAAATAAAATATCCCTTTCTTTTGGTCTCCCAATAGCCAAGTGAATTGTCTGAACTCTGAATTCTAATTTAAGTTTCATAAATGGACCTACAGATCAGCAAAGATGTGGCCTTTGCAGGGATCAGTCACAGATTTCTGACAGGCCCCATATATTTCCCATTATAAATTAATTAATTGGCATTATAGTGTGCAGACACCTATGAGTTTAATTTACGCTTTTCTCAGTACTACCTCATCTTGGATAAAAAAAAGTTCCTGTTTTTTGGAACTTTAAAATTAGCAATAAAATCATGGGCCAGATGTTTATAATATGTTATATGAATATATTAGTCTGAATTTTGAAATATGCTTTAAAAAAATGAATCATAAAAAGGCAAATTACATGAATTTATTTTAAGTGTAAGAGTAATCATCTCCAGCAATACACAAATACACAATACACAAAACTGCACCAATTTTCTCAGTAATAGATACTAACACCTAATTATTCCATTCCACTACCTCCCCTCCTCCCACAAATCAAGAAACAATATGCAATAGTTACTATACTTTTAAAAAACACATTAACCTCAGAAGGTAACTCTTCTAAAGTCTTAACCCAAACTATTTGGGAGACTAGAAGTATCTATCTTTTTATTAATAGCCTTAATATTGTAACATTATAATAACTACAAAAGTACAGAGCAACAGTGGTCTGGGGCTGGGCGAGCACCTGCACATTCCTCCTAATCTCCTCCTGGGAAGAGAATCAAAGGGAAATACCAAACAGGCACATCTTAGCCAGATACAAGGCAACCTATTCATGACAAAACTGCTTTCACTACCAGCAAATTCTCAGTGACCTAGTTATTATTACTTAAGTTTATCTGAATTTAGTACCTCCTCATTGGCATAAACTGGAATGTCTTTATAAATCATCACACCTCAGGCCTGTTCGCTCCGCAAAATCCTTCCAGGAAAACAAAGGTCATTTAACAACATGGGTCACTGAATTTCTAGGCCGCTTAACAGATGCTGAAAACCACAGGTGATAATAATTGAATCAATTAACAAGATAGTTTACCAAACATGTAACTTAATTTGAGTTACCAGATTTACTGGAGAAACTGTCTTTCCTATATTGTGCTCTAGCTTTCCCAAATAATACTGTCCTTTAAATTAAAGTTCTAGCTCAACTTCCAGGAATCTGCTCTTATTCTGCCCACCACATTACCAATCCACCAGCATGATTCCTCCCCTTCAAGGCAAGCTTAAAGTTATTAGACTCACAGATATATATTTCTGTAGATTTCATATTTTCAGTCCTGTTTCTCCAATTAGACTAAAGGCAAGTTCTCTTTTCCCTAACACATAACTTAAATACACAGTACCACACAGCACACTATACTTCAAAAAGATTCACCTAATTCTGTGAAACCACTGAATGATTTCAAAGTCCCATTAGTTAATTATTAAATATTTTACATTTGCAAGAAACTACAGACGCAAGATGAGTAAGCCTTTGTACCGAAAGAGGAAGATCAAGAAAAGAACACAATATTTCATATTAAAAGGTGGAGTAAGATGGATAATATAAGAAACATACCAATTTCTCTGGATGCTCAGAAGAGGGAAAATCAAGTTAAGGATGGAAGAATCAGGAGAGGTTTCACTTGGAAGAGGACTTGTAAGATGAGCCTTTAATGAAAAGTAGAAATTCTACCTGGAGAAGTGAAGGTATAAGAAACAAAATTAACAAAAGACAGTATAGGAGATGTTCAAGCATCAGCAAACTTTCCAGATTGTTGAAACAAAGTGCCACCAGTGAAGGAGTGAAATAATAGCAGCAAAATTTATAGAGAGATATAAAGTCTTTGCGTTCCAGGATAACAAAGTCATACCTAATTTGATAGATTTGTTATGGAACCAGTGAAAAAAAAGTTTTTAAAGGAAATTATATAACTTCCCTTTGGAAATCTATTCTGCCAGTGGGGTCTGGATGAACTAAAATGAGAAGAAACCAGAAGGTTAATGAGGAAGTTATGAGGGGCACACCATTTAAGAAACAGTGAAGAATGCCATTGCACACTATCTAGAATGGCTATAATGAAAGGAAAAAGAAAAATAGCAAGTGTTGGTGAAAAGTGGAGAAATTTGAGTCCTCATTCACTGCTGGCAGAAGTGTAAAATGGCGCAGCCACTGTGTCAAATAGTCTGGCAGTTCCTCAAAAATTAAACAGAGTTACCATAACTTAACAATTCCACTCCTAGGCATATACACAAGAAAATTAAAAATGTATGTTTCATACAAAAACCTGTATGGGAACGCTTATAGTAGCATTATTCATAATGCCAAAAAGTGGAAGCAACCTAAATATCCATCACTTGAAAAATTATAAACTGTGCTTTACTCATACAATAGAATATTATTTGGCAATAAAAAGGGATGAAGCCCTTTTTAGGGCTGAATGAAGAAGCAGAGGACAGACGACACGCTGTCATCACGTCCTATATGAACCTTGAAAACGTTACGATAAGTGAAAGAAGCCAAGCACCAAAGGCCATATATGTATGGATATTTGTATGTATGTATAATTCCATTTATTTTTCTTAAGATTTTATTTATTCATTTGACAGAGAGAGGAAGAGGGAGAGACAGCACACGAGCAGGGGAAGCAACAGGCAGAGGGGGAGGGAGAAGCAGACTCCCCGCTGAGCAGGGAGCCTGATGCGGGGTTCAAACCCAGGACCCTGGGATCATGACCTGAGCCGAAGGCAAGACGCCTAACGACTGAGCCACCCAGGGATAGGCAAATCCATAGAGACAGAAAGTAGATTAGTGGTTGCCAGAGAATAGGCAGAGGGGGAAATTAGAAAGTATGGGGTTTCTTTTTGGGGTGACAGAAATATTCTGGAATTAGTATTATGACTGCTGCGTAATACTGTAAATATATTCAACAACCATTAAGTTGTACACTTACAAATGGTTAAAATGGTGAATTTTATGTTAATTGAATTTTATCTCAATAAGAAAAAGAAAAGTGAAGAAATAATGAAGAAATGAAGGAAGACCATTAACTACAGTAATGGTTATGTGAATAGAAACAAAACGGGTGAAAAGTTAAGGAATTACAATCCATGTTTTTGCAACTACTCTATTTTATCAGAGCTAAAATGCCATCAATTTTAAGAGGCACCATAATTTTATATACCACTAAGAAAGAAAAATACTACCAATTAAACAATGATTCACCATTGATGGTAAGAAGCAACTGATATCAGAAATTTTATCTTGTAAAAAAAAGTGTTTAGAATCAAGGAAATGTACAATTAGATGCAGGAAATAAAGAAAACATGTAGTTTAGAAATAGAAAAAGACCGAGTTTATGCAGAAACACAATGAATTCAGTTTGGACCATAAGCTATTTGGATATTCATGTTGAGATTAACGAATTATTTTAAAATTATTCATATATAGAAATGTAATGGGAGAGAAATTATACTTTTAGATGTATGCAACACTGGGAGTTTCAAAAACTATAAGCCTAAAATCAATGGTCAGAAAAGATAAAGCCAATCTCTCAGGAAGAACAGGACCTTTTTTCTTAAACATTAGAAGCAGCCCTCACATCCAAAAGCCCAGGGATTTACCATTCTGAAATCTCTTTTCCAGCTTCCTCTCAAAACACTTTTTAGCAGGTTCTTTTGATATTTACAAAAAATAAAAGACAGTCTCTATCTTCAAAGAAACTCATCAAAGTGCAACACAAAAACAAAGGCAGAAAGAACACTACTAAGTGCATTAATGACTACTGTATATCCAAGGTAAATATTAAATTTGATCAGCATTTATTAAGCATGGAGAACTATTCAGTCTCTGAACCATACCCTGAAGGATATGAAATATAAGTAAAATAAAATCTTTACAATTAAGGAAGCTGGAGGTGAGAGAGAGGTGTCAAAAAGGGACACAAATAACAGAACACAAGACAAAATAACTTTTGCTTCATATAGCTGTCTATGTGTGAACAGCTTTACAAGAGATGTAAACATGAGTACTGTGGGGATTTGAGGACAGGAAAGACTGTACCCAAAAAGAACTGGAAAAGGCAAGATAGGTACCTGGAGATGGACTTTAAGAATATATTAGATTTTAAGGGCACCTGGCTGGCTCAGTTGGTAGAACATGCAACTCTTGATCTCAGAGTTGTAAGTTCAAGCCCCGTGTTGGATGTAAAGCTTACTTAAAAATTTTTTTTAAATCCTTAAAAAAAATATATTAGAGTTTTTAGTAGGCAGAGATGCAGCAGTAGGGTTTTTTTTTTTTTAAGATTTATTTATTTAGGGGCGCCTGGGTGGCTCAATCTTTAAGCGACTGCCTTCGGCTCAGGTCATGCTCCCAGGGTCCTGGGATCGAGCCCCACATCGGGCTCCCTGCTCTGCGGGAAGCCTGCTTCCCCCTCTCCCACTCCCCCTGCTTGTGTTCCCTCTCTCGCTGTGTCTCTCTCTGTCAGATAAATAAATACAATCTTTTAAAAAATATTTATTTATTTATTTATTTGAGGGTGGGGGAAGAGTGGAGGGGCAAAGGGAGAGGGAGAGAGAGTCCCAAGCAGACTCTATGTTCAACAGTTGTAAGACTACTAACTGGACTTGAAAAAAAGTATAGAAGACACCAGAGAAACCCTGGCTGCAAAAATAAAAGACCTAAAAACTAATCAGACTGAAATAAAAAATGCTATAACTGAAACACAAAACTAAATAGATGTAAGCACAATAAGGAATAAAGAAGCAGGGGACAGAATAGGTGATATTAAAGATAAAATTATGGAAAATAATGAAGTTGAGGGCACCTGGGTGGCTCAGTTGGTTAAGCGACTGCCTTCGGCTCAGGTCATGATCCCAGGGTCCTGGGATCGAGTACCACATCGGGCTCCCCCTGCTCGGTGGGGAGCCTTCTTTTCCCTCTGTCTCTGCCTGCCGCTCCCCTGCTTGTGCTCTCTCTCTCTGTCAAATAAATGAATACAATCTTTAAAAAAAAGAAAAGAAAAGAATGAAGTTGAAAAGAAAAGGGAAAGGAAACTATTAGATCATGAAGGTAGACCTAGGGAACTCAGCGATTCCATAAAGAGAAATAATATCTGTATCATAGGAGTCCCAGAAGAAGAGTGGAAAAAAGGTCAGAAGGTTTATTTGAACAAATTATAGCTGAGAATTTCCCTAATCTAGGGAAGGAAATAGGCATTTAAGTCCAAGAGGCACAGAGAACTCCCTCAAAATCAACAAAAACCAGGTCAACACCATAACA